ATGATAATCTTGGTGTTGGCTCAATCATAAAAGCAACTAATTAGTGACTAATTGTTTGGTCTAGTGGGGGTATTTCTAGGTTAGGCTAAGTTAAGTCGTATAAACATGCGGACACGTAGCTTCCAATAATTTTACAATTAGATGTCAGGGTTAAACGAGCCGTTACATCTGTGCTCTTCCAAACTAAGTCCAAGGAAACTGAAGGCATGAGTAGCTGCTCTCTCACAAAAATCATCTGTAGCTCAATTCAAATTGGAATGCTTGGAAAGTTGGACCGTTTGCATTAGCGAAAGCCGTACAAAAAATTTGAAGGTGTTTTGACTTTGATACGTGACATTCTAACAAACTTCCGATATGGTATTTCATTCCGCTTTAAGATTATTTTGTCACACAGGCAGATTTCTTCATAGAACAGAATCTCCAGATTCTACAGGGTGCGCCAAAATTACCAGCGCGTGTTTCCTTGGGTGCCAGAAGGATACTAGACGGGCTTGAAGAGCGATCAAGTATGCGTTTGTTTTCACCAACCATTAGCGTAATGCAGTTGTCAAATCAGAATTTGGCTGCTTTATTTCTTGAAAAAATCTCAGTCCCTCTCGCCCACCGAAGTGTGCTCTGTACGCAAGCATGGCTTTGAGATATTGTTTAATATCTTTTTAACAACATTTTTCTCCTGCTTTGTAATTGCGCACAAAAATAGAGCAAGCCTTTATCTCTAATGCAATCAAGTATGGAAACTTGAAAATTAACTCGAAGAGAATTTATGATTACTCAAGAACATGGTTGAGAGGCGGCATAACGAAAATTGGCGTAATTTTGGCCTTCCTGAGTGCACCTTAAGATCGGAAAATGTCTTCTAAATCAGATTCAAAACTATCTCAGCTAGTAGCTTCTATGTGGATGCTCTTCTACTTGTCTCACAAATAGGGAACTGTTTTTATCTGAAAGGTTTTGCATATTTGGGGCCTAATAATCGATTTTGAACATAAGATCATTGCTCGTACGCAGGTATTTTCCGCAAATACGTTTTTCTTACTTAGTGAAGGAATAAATTTTGCAAATGCAGCTAGACCTGTGTGATAGTGCAAATCGTGCTCTACAATCGCAGCTTGAAAGGGTCTAGAAAAGCTTTGACTTTATTCAGTTACAGAGCAAATTATGAAGATATCGAAATTTCATTTTTGCCTTTCTTGTAAATACTGGTCTGATTCTTTTGATTCTTAAATTCTTAGAAATAGGTCTTTTTGAATTCAATAAAATGTATTGTGTAGGGATTGAATAATGCCTTTCTATAGCACAAATTTGAGCTCGTATCTTTCAATGGTTCCTTGGTGGCAGTGTTTGTAATATTGGCGCCGGTAATTTTGGCGCACCCTGTAGAGCTTAGCCCAAAAATCAAATAACTCAAAAAGCACATAACATTGTAAGTAAAGGTTGATTTGGATGTAACGCGTCAACATGTGCATTCATCCTGCGAATTACAAAATGCCAAGCGTGTTGTGAAAGGGTTGCACAATTTCAATACATTCTGAAAAAAATGTAGAGCCGAATTAATTGCGAGTTTACACGCCAACAGTAGCAGAATAAAGTTTTTAGGCGAGGAAGAGAAAGGAAGTGAAAGATTTTTTTGAAGAAGGAGAGCGTGAATAAACACTTCCAAAAATGCTTCTGACAAGGGATGGATACTTGGTCGAAGTGGAGTTTACATATGAAATTTACACTATTTCATAGAACATGGAACGCTGATTCTGAAAAAAATCTGCTTCTGTTTTCTGCAAATCACTTTGAAGAGGGGAGTTACGGAAATTCTCTCAACGCAAAATTTCAGTGGTTTGGTTAAGGTGAAAACAGGTGTTGAGTTATTTCCGGCGCTAAAAAGTAGTAATGACTAGCATGAGCTTATTGTACCGAACCTACCAACTGAATAGAGTGCCCTGGCAGCGGTCATGGCCCATTTGAGCTCACAGACTTCATTTCTCAATGATTTTATCGTAACCGCGCGTCCAAATTTTGCTAAAAAAAACTCTCATAACTTCCCTTCCAAAAGTGCAGATATCGAAAGCAGTTTTGGAATCAGCCTGCCAAGCTCTATAAGACAGTTTACTTTTCATATGAAAACGACACTTCGGCCAAGTATCCTCCCCTTGTGAGAAGCTAGAATCACGAGAATCTGCAAAAGTTATATACAATAATGAATAATTATAAAATATACCGATAATATAAAACAATCGTACATGTGATTATTATCACTATTACTTCCATTGATTTATTGGATGTTAAATTTGATAGGCTTTAGCTAACCAAAGCGGGAAAAATATATAACGCGGTCTCGACTGCAATATACAAAACATGTAACAATTTTGATTGTTATATGACTGCTGACCAGCAAGCGAGTTTTTTTACCAGTGAAAATTGACAGCATACATGGATTGTTAGCAGACATTAAAACAGATCACATGTAGTACATATTTTACTGACATTGTGTTCACTGGCACACAGGGTTGTCTCTTTAAAATTTCACGGGGTCAAATATTGTGTTGTTTCGGTTGAGCAGTCAGTATTAAGGCAGGTAAAAAATGAGACACCTAAATAATAATTGTAGATTTCTCAAGGAGAAGTGAATGGACTTTTCATTTCACATATATTAGAATATATCCTTCTCTTTCAGATAACACCTATAAAAGGTCATCAGCGTAGTCAATAACTTTTATACTTGCTAATTAGCAAGTTAGTCACTTCGACAAATTATAAACTTCGCGCTGTAGCTGCGCGGTGAAACACGTGGTCATTTAAAGGCAGTGTCCCACCAAAGTTGAAGTCGCGGGGATCTTTACATATTCTATCTATAGGGACCTCTAGATAGGCCATTGCAACAAGTCCCAATCAATTTGACCCCCTCTACGCTGAGAAAAATTCGCTCAAAGTGGTACGCGGAGAGCCAGTTGGTACGCGCGGACGACTCCTTCGGTCTCCCCCCTTACGCGTTTGAACATGTCCCTCCACTTGGCATCCACCTCCCGTCTGTTGCTGCCACTGTGGCTGGGGCTGAAGTTGGAAGGTACAAACTCGTCCACCTTGCTTCCGCGGGGCCTCCAGAAAACGGGATTTTTGGGAACTTCGTGCGATTTTAAGCCCATACAGTGCTAGACAGGGTCCGACAGGCTTGCAAAATGCAAAAATTTCGGCAACTAAATTTTGGTGAGACACTGCCTTTAAAGTACCACTCCTACAATGTGTGAAGGTACAGTCACCAAACCTACGGTGGCCTGCTGGCCGCAACAGTTAAAGTCAGAAGATATGATCATTACATTTTTTGGA